TTTAGTTATAAATATAGATTTACTTATAAGCTTGTCCTGAAACATACACGCTTGATGTCTAATTTTTTGGATGTCGCATGAATGCCGACAAAAAACCTGTTTCGGAGCTGTATGTAGTGCATAAAATTCTAACATTTAAATTTAAAATAAGCCTAATAACAATGAAAGTTGTTTTTGGAATTTATTGTAACCTAAATTGCAAATACACAAAATATGAATATTTTTTTCAGATTCCCGAAACCTCCAAAAGCTAGAATTTTCTAAATTTCGAAACTTGAATTATACTTTACGTGTAATGCCTTAACCTTTACATTTATTAAATTTGCCACTGTAAACAATGGGTTACATAAATAATCAAAGTCGACAAAGCTAATAGTCATCAATTACTAAGCTTTGATTTTATTCAACAAAATTTTTAGAGAATTTTTGGATAAAATTACTTATTTTCAAATATTTTCTGTTTTAAATGATCACCAATATATATTATTGTATTAATAAAATAATAAAAACTTGTATAAAATAAATTTATAATTTTTGATTTCGCAGCTCATCTTGTATTTTTGTATGTCAGAAAAGCTGACAGAAAAAAAATCATATTTTCTGTGTTGCACAGTTCTCAAGACCGAACTACCGTATTTTCTCGATTAATTCCCCATGCCAGAGTTGGGTTGAAACAATAATTCCCCTCCCCCAAATACCCTACCTCGCGTTCAAATGCCAAAACTCGAATAATTCCCCTCCCTCGATTAATTCCCCATGCCAAGAGAGGATTGAAAAAATAATTCCCCGGGGGAATTAATCAAGAAAATACGGTAGATTGGCTGTAATGCACAGTTCTCAAGCCCGAACCTGATAGGCAATCCTAAGTCAATCGTCATTCCAATCACATAGTCAAGTTAAAGTTAAGGTCAAAGTTAAGGAGGTTGGCTTCCACACATATATCCACGACATTTAGCTTATAATGTGTGCGTTTTTCGTGTTCTTTCGAACTAATAAAATATTTTTAATGATTTATGTTCAAATCGAATGTTAAAAATATTTTTGCCACTGACACTAATTGCATACAAAAATAATTGACATAAAATGAAGCTCTCATTAAGCTTTATCACTCACACTTATAAATATATTTGTAATTGAAATGAAATTTATGGAGTTTGAGTGAACTGCAAATTTCCAGGACCATTCTGTCAACTATCCTAGGCACAGATTGCCATTATATTACCTAAGAATATTTATTAAGATTGTCAGATTCAGCTACTAGCTCATAAAACTACATCAGTTTTTAACCCTTTCGAACCTTGACCAGAATTTTTTAAATAAAATTTATGTCATTATGTAAAGCTTAGTGCGATTGTATAATTTTGTTATGTTTTGTAGTTCTACTTTTGCCACTGAATACAATGGCTTACAAAAATATAAGAGTTGAAATTTATCGTCTCGGTAAGCTTAAGACGATATATCCTTATCACTCCTTATAATATTTGCAAATAAAATAAATTTTATGAAGTATTTAAGATTCTACAAATAAGTGAATTGTCGATTTAGTCAGATAGGCTTATCCGCAATAGCTGTTTTTTACAAGAAAAACACCATTTTTCGAGTGTTTTTTACGTTTTTCATGCTTATAGTCATTGTTTATCGACTTGAGAAAAGTGAGGACCGGGTTTCGGGTATAGGTCGGATTAATATAAAATTTGAAGATTTTACTTGAAGAGTTAATATGCATTCATTACATATATTTTATTAAATTCTTTTTGTTTTAAATTTAGATGCACTTATTAGCTTTGCTTTGGCGTGTCTCGATTGATGCCTAATTTTTTGGATGTCGCTTGAATGCCGACAAAAAATTAAGTAAATTAACGGAAGGTGCCTGCTCGATTTCTCTAAAATTGATCCGTGTGTCTTCTTTCTTATCAAACGAGTTGTCTGCCAGAAGATTGCATGATCAGTGTCTGAACGAAGTAAACTTTTTTCTATTCATTACTCTATAAATATTCAAGCTTGATATTTAATATATTTTATTAAATAAATTCGCAAAATTTCTCTAAAATAGATCAGCGTTTGTCTTTCTTGCTATCTTTTTTTTAGGAGATGCCTGCCAAAATAATGTAGGATATATCCTGACCGAAGCTAAGATTTATTTATTTATTACTTTATAAATATTTAAGCTAATATTTAATATATTTTATTACGTTAAAAATGTGGTAAATGTCAATTGAACAAAATCTTTGTGTGCCACTACAATCAATATTTCTATTTTTGAATGTCAGCGAAGCTGATAGAAAATTGTTTTTTTTGTACCTTGTTGTGACTTGAATTCCAAATGAATAGAAACTTACAAAAGAAAATATTTTTTCTCAGATTCTTAAACCTTCTAAAACTAGAATTTTCCGAAGTACAAAACTTGAATTATAATTTACGTCTAACCTTCTTTTTTATTGTTTACTTTTATTATAATACATTTGCCAATGAAAACAATGGGATACAGAAATAATTGAAGTCGGCTAAAAAAAGAGTCGCCAGCTATTAAAATTTGACTTTATCCAACAAAATTTTTCAAAAATTTTTAAAAAATCACTCATTTTCAAATATTTTCGGTTTTATACTGTCACTAATATAAATTATTATGTTAATAAAATGATAAAAACTTGCATAAAATAAATTTATAATGTTTGATTTCGCTGAGCTAATTTGTATTTTTGTATGTCAGAAAAGCTGACAGAAAAATATAATTTGCCATCTATACCTCGGCTCTCGAGCCCGAATATGATTGACAGCTACTCCTACATCCGAAAGCTAAGAGAGCCGCATTGGTGGCTGGCAATAAATAAAATCTAAGTTTGATTAGGATATTTATCTAACTCATGCATCTGAAAAAACCCATCGAAGAAACGATCGAAAAATCGTCTCATATAAAATTTAACTATTTTGTCGCTAAAAAAACGACATACAAAAATAACAATGCTTGCGGATTTTAATAAGCCTATTTATACTTATTTTAATCTATTCTTTAAAGCCAAGTTTAAATAAGATAAATAATATTTTTTATACTTATTAGAAATCATCTATTTAAATTTAAAAGCATGAAGCAAGAAGGAAATTCGATTGACATTCTAGCGACCTTATTGTCATAATTATACATACTAAATAGCTTACAAGGGAAACTTTCAAACTTTTTCAAAAAAATTTTAAATAAAACTTATGCCATCTTGTAGGTTTACAGCTTATTGCAATCTTGATCGCTCCAAAAGCCTGCAGATTTGATTTTAAATTTGGGTCTAATTCCCTTAAAAAAGAAGGTCAATTTTGATTTATCTACTAAAGATGCTTTACAAAATGGTATAATTTTCAGTTTAAATATATTTCAGTGTTATTTTTGCCACTGAAAACAATGGCTTACAAAAATAAGTTTACCGAAGAAAAAGAGGAAAATTCAAATGTACTCTTCTATTCCTCTTTAAATTATATTCGCAAATAAAATAAATTTTATGGAGCACATAGGACTTCGTTTAGGAAGCTGAGGTTTTATTTTTCAACAAAAACACTGTTTATAAAAGTGATAATTCGTTCATTTTTGTCATTGCTTTTTGTTTCTGAACTTGTTTAAACTTTATTGTCGTTATAAAACGGCATCCAAAAATAAACTAACCGCAACACAAACGAGTCAGTATTACAGATACGTGATTATTCTTTAGGACAAGTCTAAATTAGATAAATGATATTATAGACAGTCTATTAATTAAATAAACACCAAATACCTCAAACTGTTAAAATCAGAGCAGTTCGGTTCGGTCATGCTCAGTTTTCCTATAACTCATTAAGGGATGGTCACTTCTTCATGGTTCTTGGTAATATTGGATAGAAAACTTTATCGTTTATAATTTCTTATCAGCCAATCAACCATTTTCGATTATTGGTATTTTGTAATGTGTTTAATTAGACCTATCTCATGATAGCGAAACATTAAAAATTCGTAAGTTACGGGCTCGGGACTGAAATGAGTGAACAACGAAACAGCCTTTGGAACAACGAAACAGCTCGTCAAATATTACTGAAAAATATTGCCGTTGAAGAACGACATCCAAAAATAATGAATCCGATATTCAACGTACACATAATACTTATATCTAACTATTCTTATAAGTCAAGTCTAAATTAGATAAATAATATTTTTGACAGTTATAACACCTTCATAAACCTACAATTTAATTTTAAGAGATTTTTAGAGATTTTATCCATGCAAGAAATTCAATTGAATTAAATCCTCACCAATCAAAATATGAAGCTCCTCCGTTTATAAAAAAAATGAATGAAATGAGTGATAGCCTTTGGAACACGAAACAGCACGTCAAAAATCACTGAAACTTCATTGCCGTTGAAGAACGACATACAAAAATAATTCCTTGGCAAAGAACAGAAGACTTAAACATAGTTATATTTATCTATTCTTTTAAGTCAAATCTAAATTAGATAAATAATATTTTTATCAGTTTATTACCTTCGTAAAGCTACCATTTAAATTTAAAAGATTTTTAAAGACTTGAGCCATGCATGTAATTCAATTTGCATCAAATCCTCAAAAATCGAATTTTAGAAACACCTCCGGTTTCAAGTTAATTTTTAATTATTGCTGAAATACTTGCTTTAAATTTAAATTAAATTTCCAATTTATTAAAATTCATAAAAATCTATAATACTTCTCTTCTCATCAACCAACACGTGTCATTCGGATTTAAAATTCACTCATCTCTTCCCAAAAATTACCAATTTGGAAATTTCAAAACGTGGCAAATCCCAACTCTTAAGTCTATCAGTCAACTAAAAAAATTTTTCATTTAAAATACGCAATGCCAGAGAAAATTAAAATAAAAGATTGGTAAAAAATTTCTCTTTAAGCCTTATAAAATTGTCTGAAACACGTTGAGGTAAGCTTAGGTAAATTAATATAAAAGCAGAAATACTTCCTCAATCTCCATCATTTTTGCTTCTATAGCTTAATAATGAAACTTTCCTTCTCTAAAATTAATTTGCTGGCATTTGCTGTCTCGATTAGCTTTTCTAGTGTGAATTGTGGCTGTCCTGATGGTTGGGGTACCATTGACAACGTTAGCGGATTTAAAATCTTCACATCAACCGACCCAATAAACCTTTTCATGGTAATTTTATCGATAATGATTGTAAGGGAGAGTATGCTAAATCCTCCCAGATATCTCGATATTGTAATGAAGAGAAAGATCCATGGGCTAGCATTTTAAGGCTAGCATTTAAAGGCGGGGGTTTAAGATCTATTAAAAGAGAAGGTGAAAGCAGAGTCCCGGTAGCTCAGTTGGTAGAGCACCTGTACGTGGTGAGCGAAAGCGCCTAGCAATAACTGCCAGAAGGTCGCAGGATCGAAGCCCGCCCCGATTAAACTTTTACCTCGCTCTTACTATATATCCTTAAAATACTTCCCACATATCACACACAAATCCTTCGATATCCCTCTAATCTGACAAAAAATTCTCTGATCAATATTCTACTACTTATTTTCCACTGACACATTGTCCGAGAGCTCTTATCAAAAAATAATTAAAGGCACTTCCTATATGCAAAGCAAATGGCGCTAAAATTGCATCAGTGAACAGTGCAGATGAAAATGAACTGATTAAACAAATGGTTAGTCAAGCCAATGGAGATGATAGTACTCCAGTTTGGTTGGGAGTTTATATGAAAAATAACGGTGACGGTAGCTTTGCATGTAAAACTGCTGATGGCGGAGATTGTCCTTCTGACATGCTGAATTTATACCAAAATCAAGCAGACAATTCAGGTTTTATTTATAAAAATATACAGAAAAAATAGAATCTTATCTGTGATAACGGTGATTGAAAAAAGGTAAAGTTGTAATATTGTATCTAGGGGGTGCCGAAGAATTGTGTGAAACCAACAAACCTAGTGTATCTGCACTTGCACAAAAATATAGGGTAAATGTTCAGTTCGCTATCCACCTGTCCCCAAAATGAGTGTGGATTTTCCTAATTTTTTGCGTGCTCGCCCATTTTTACTTCTCAATTATGTAATTTTTCACTACGAAAAATTTAGAAACACCCATATATGGTACACAATTGATATCTGGTAAGTGGAATGTTGTGGATTGCGCAGAACGTGTGTATTCTGTTGCTTGTAAAACTACTTGTGATCAGTAAAATGTTGGAGAAAAAGAGAAATAAAAAGATAAAGAAGACAATATATAACATATTTCAAATCATACATTTCTGATATTATAACAAAAACTTCAACTATTCTATGAAAATCCCTCTAAAAATATTAAATAAACCTTATTCTTGCAACATTTCTAAGGGTGTATGTAACGTAAGGTTCTAAGGATATCTACTGATTTGGTCTTCTGATTTGGTAGTTTAGTAAAATTGAATCTTAATTTAATTATTATATATGTTTTCAAGATCTTAAGCCTAAAGAATGTAAAAAGTCTTGGCTTTGACGGAAAGGTTTTTTACTGAAAGGATATTTTTTCCAGTTCCGGAACTAGTTCCAAGCTAGTTCTAGTTCCAAACTTTTAAGTTTTTAGAATATGAAAAGATTTATAAAAGATTTATTTAGAATATTAAAAGATTATATGAAAAGATTTATCAATTTTAACAAATAAAGGCATAATTTAAAAAATCATTTAGTGTGCGGCAAAATCGCATTCACGGGATCCCGTAACGAGATTTTTTTCAAAATTTTTTACGGAAAGGATCCCGCGGGATTAATCCCGTAATCCTGATAATCCCGTTCTAAAATTTAGCGGGATTTACGTAATAGATACCGGGGGATCAGAGGATTTGAAGGGAATACGGGATTTAAAAGGATCTCTGGGGATATTTGTGGTGATATCTGGGTATAAGAGGATTTTGAGTGATGTCGGAGGATGTAAGGAGATTGAAGGATAGACTGGAGGATGAAGAGAAATCCACTTTTTCAACGCCGCAGGCGAAAATTTTGAAAATTTCTAAGGTCGTCCCGTCAAATTAGTCGAGGAAATTTTGTCAAAAATATGTATACCCCCAAGAACTAGTTCCAGAATTAGTTCCAGAACTAGTTCCAAGCTAGTTCCAAGCATTTACTAGTTCCGTAGTTCTAGTTCCAAACTAGTTCCAGATAATCGTTAGTTCCGTAGTTCTAGTTCTGGAACTGGAACTAGAACTAACAAGTTCCGGAACTGGAACTTTGCCCATCACTGGTGTTATCTAGCGGCTAACCAACCTTAGCGAATAAAATGTAATACATATCTGCCTAAGACGATTTATAGTGTGGTTCAAGCAAACTTCCATTTCACTATATGTTTGAGTGGCAAAAATCCTACATCAAAAATCTAAAACGTCGTTCTGGAGTAGTGTTATTTTTAAAATACGCATATAATCTATCAATATAATTAAAATCCTTAGAACAACAGTTAATATGGAATGCCAAATCGGCTTAAAAATGATCCAAAACATTACGGCGCACAGTATTGTTTGATACGTTTATATACAATTATAATATACTCTAATAGATATACTCAATATGCATTTAAAATTTTTCCATCCTTAAACTGTAAAATTGGTACTGTAGTGTATGTTCTTTGCCATTTTTAGACCAGTTATTTTTGGATGCCATACAGTCATCGGCAATAATATCGCGTATTTAAAAACGTTTATTATTTCTATTAGTGGATTTGCTGTATTTATTAGCATGGTAAAATCTGTCAGCTACATGTAGGTGACATACAAAAATAAACTACATCAAAAAATACGACAACAAAAACATTCTTTATTCAAATACAAATAAGATACTATATAAACAAAAATATATATGGTACAAATACAAACAAAAAAGTGTTTGTATTAAACGATAATATTTGCCTATGCTTTAGCATGGCATCCAAAAAATAACCACTGTAAGTCACAACACTCCAAGTTACAAGTGTATTCACGAAATTAACCGTTTTAAAAATACAAAAACGGATATTAAGCAATATATACTTTATCTAGAGAACCAAATTTGTAATCTTTATGAGTTTTAAATTTAGTCCATAACCGTGTATTAGTGATTTCTAGGATATTTTTTATAGCTATTCCAAAAATGTTTTATACTTAGAAACTAGGGTACCAACCAGACACCCGAAATCCGAAGGATTTTTTGCCAAAAAACCGACCGAACCCCGAAGGCATTACCCCGACAAACCGGAGTTGCGGCCCGAGTTTCTATGGGTAAGTTATGTGTAAATTCTGGTCCGTGGAGATAAGTTCAGCTATTATATTTTAGATTATGGACCAAATTTGTGGGGCTCTTATCTAGACACCTATACGTTCAATCAAATGTTTCAAACCTATTTTTATGTGCCCAGTCAATGAGGATAAGTGTCCGATACTGCACTTTAGCCTGGGATTCGGATGATCAAGGTGTGAAACTTATAAAGTGGTTCAGTAGTTTCCGACATCTAGAAATTAAGGCTGATTTTTGATTTCCATGTTCTGACTTTTGAGCCATTTCCAAGTTCCGACAGTTCCGATTTACGGCAACTTCGTCATTTCCGATCGATCTCAGCAATGCACTAAGTAAATTGATATATTTGATTTAGTACGTGTACAAAATTAACAAAAATTTATAAGGATCAATAGCTCATAAAAGATAGAGATATTTATAAATTGTTTTTCCGGGTCTAATTAATATAAATTATATACTTTCGCCTCTCTTTAAATATAAATTATTATTGAAGTGATTTACGTTAGCAGTAAATGCATGGACGGATTCTTTATTTTTGGATGCCATTTATAAACAAATGGCAATTAATCATACATAGGCTATATCTGTTAATAGGAGTCTTCGAATACATAGATACATATATGTATCATACCTTGTAATCTTATTTAGGAGAGATCCAGTTATTGCCTATACACAGTCGCTCCTACAAACTGAAGAAATTTGAAGATCGATTGAGCTTCAAGAACGATATACTGCAATGTTTTGACTTACAAAAATCCTATCACTTGTAATTAATAAGTATAGTAAAGCAAAAGGAGCTTTATGAAGATAGATCATTGAATTATCTAAATCTTTATGTTTAAAGCTCTTTTGTTATGAGTAAGGTCACTAAAAACTTTAACAAAATTACATGAGAAATCTCAAACAGCTTTCTTGTAATGGGCTTTTTGAAAAAATTGAATGTAAGATCCGTGATAAATCCCATCCCTGGTAAAAGTTTGCTCGCTAGTAATTAACAAGGTGTATTTAAAAGTGGGATTACTATGTGTCATATAGCTACATAGAGTGCGACAAATACAGAATACTAAAATCAAAATTCTGAAAATTAATTTATTTTTTGTCGGCTTTCAATGCGACATCCAAAAAATTAGCCCAAAAATTCAAAACCCTTGTACGTAAATATAACAGACGCATTCCTCATTTAAAACAAAATAAATCTAATAAAATATAAGTTTATAATTAGGGCTGGCAATTATAAAGGCAATATGTTTATGCAGTCTAGAAATTTTTTTTTTAATTCTTAATTTTTCATTCAAAAAATACGTTCTATATAGCAATCGAAAGCTACATTTGTATCTCAGTTGAAATGTTTCTTCAATTTCATGAAAATGAAAATGGGTATAGGAAAAGCTGGGGAGTGATTAAGGAGAGAAGTGTCCAAGGAGAGAAGTCATTAAGGAAAGAAGTCAAAGTGTTAAGAAAAGAGTCATTTAAATATAGCCACAACGAAAATAACTTTAACTTAATATAAACTTTAAGATTGTTATCTTGGATAAAGAATGGTTGGGAAAATTTTATAATTATGACTAATATTAAATTAAACATATTTTAATTTATTTTTATTCTCGCGTTTGGAACGCTACAAAGCCAAATATCAGAAAATGTTTGAAATATCAATATCAAGACGTCAATGAACACGGCCTGATTTAAGATTTATTTAATTAGTATGTATTAGTTCTTAAATCTTTCTCTCTTTTAAAGATATAAATTTAGTACGATAATCAAATTCCTCTATGTAGTGCTTTATTTTTGGATGCCATGCATAGTTATTGGCAATTATTTAAGTTTAAGCATTATATCTTTAACTAATTTAATAATACAGTGGCGGAAATTCTCGGTCAGATAATTCTCGGTCAGATTCTCGGTCTTCTAAGTCGTATTATTCGACTTAGAATAATCTTCTAATCAATTTCAGTCATTGTCGAAGTACACACTTCTATTTGAAATAAATAGATTCACAGTATTTTAGAAATTTTTTATGGGAATTGAGAGCCAATACCAAACTCTCAGCACCGGACATAACTTTTAACACGAATAGCTGGGTACCTATAAAGTAATGCCAGTAACTTAACGAGCATTACTGTATGTCGATATAGCGTTACTGTATGGCCTTAAAAGCTAATCTCAAGTGAGATTAGCCTTGCGTAAGCTAAAGCTTAAGCAACGATACTCCAATGTTTGAAAGTATAACTAACATTTTAGGAATAGCAATAAAAAATATCTTAGAAATCATTTAGATATATCGACCAAATTTGAAACTCCTCAAAATCATTAAATTTGGTCCTAAAATTTCCAGATAAAGTATAATTTACTTAACATCCGTTTTAGTATTTTTAAAACGGCTAATTTTGTGAATCAACATGTAGCTTCGATTTTGTGATGATCTTTTGTTATTTTTTGGATGCCACGCTAAAGCATAGGCAAATATTATCGTTCAGAATAACACTTTTTGGACTAAACTCTTTAGCAACAATTAGAAGCCTGTAGTTATTTTTAAGGTATTTTTTTATAAAATCCAAATGCCTATAATGGGTTGTTAGATAAATAATGAGCCCTTTTCGCATTTTTAGTCTTTATTTATGTATAGGTATTCGAATTCAGATTAACTTTGATGGTTTCACTGCTTGTGAGGTCCCTTTTGGAGTTAAAAGTACGTGATTTTTATGCCAAATGCTAATGCATGGCATCCAAAAATACATGATTATGTACGATGGAACAACATAGATGCTATATTAATTTTACATTTTAAATGAGCGAAAAATTTATAAAGAAATACTGATTAAATATCCTTTTAGATTAACATTTTCGGAATAGCTATAAAATTATCCTAGAAATCATTAATTATAGATCTCTTTAACAACAGTTAAAGCTGATATGGACCAAATTTGAAACTCCTCAA